CTTTTTAGGCCGATTTCTACGATTTATTCACCCCACAAAAGAAGTCTGGTGGAGACTAGTTTGTTTCTGGCGGAGAGAAGGGAGCGCAAAACCTCTCCACGGCAAAAACTCCCGCCCCCCACAAGGGAGCTACCTGCACAAGGCTCAAAGTGTCACAGTTCCCGCACGGGAAAGTTCAAACTCTCCACCTCAAGTACCTCGGCTTTACCTGCACAAGGCTCAAAGGTCCACTTTTTATCCAAAGGTCCTTGAAGTTCTTTGAAATCCTCTAAAAAAGGCAGGAAATGCCATTTCAGAAGGTTCTTTTTTTTTTCAAAATTTCCCGGGGGAGCATGCCCCCTAACCCCCTTGAAACCTCGCACCTTCGGCGGTCGCTGGTCCCTCAAGCAGTGGCCTGGCTACGGGCATGATATATACAGATTCTTTATTGACACAACAAATATAAGCCAGTGGAAAAATTATTATAATTATAATACAGAATCAAGATTCACAACAACTTTAAGTACTTCTTTGACTTGATTACTAGTGAATTCTTTCATCAGTGACAACTTGGAAGGATAAGGATACTAACCTCCAAATTTTCGATGGCTATCAGTCCATCTTGTTCACGGAGTGGCCTAATCTCGCGAGAGTGTGAGACTAGGCCCTAGACTTGCATCGGTCTGCCGGGCCCCACCCCCTGTTGCCTCCCTCCGGAGTAAGGGTAAGGCCACAGCAAGAAAATTTTATGGATGACATCCTCTGCAGACTCCAAATCTAATGCGAGCGGGCGAAAAAAAACCAAGGCGGGCCAAAAAAAAAAAAGGTTCCTACATTATAAGATTTTGACTCAATCATCGTACGAATGGCTTTTTAATATTTGGTGGGAACATCACATATACACAGCCATCATCACATATCATCGCATCAAAGTAAGAAACAAAACATTAAATCAGTGTCTTTTCTTGTCTCCTCTCGTCATAGTTATCTGCCACCCACCTTCCGGCATGGCAACAGACATCTTTGCCCATTTTCGGCATGTTGACCACTGTCAGAAGGCAACAAAATTTCTTGTTTTTTTTTCCAAAATCAGGCGAAAATTAATGCGCCCGCTGATGTCATCCATAAAAATTACTTGCTTTGGCCTAAGTAAGTCTTAGGGAGTTCCCAACCTTCTGTCCGGTTTAGCTTGGCACCTTCCAACTGTTGCAAGCTCGGGCCTAGTCTCGCGCTCTCGCGAGATTAGGCCACTCCGTGAACAAGATGGACTGATAGCCATCGAAAATTTGGAGGTTTATTTGATAGTAACAGTTATCCTTATCCTTCCAAGTTGTCACTGATGAAAGAATTCACTAGTACCTGTATCTATACGTGACAAATGAATCTCTTCAACGTTCTTTGACTTGATTTGAAATGTGAAAGGAGATGTACCCAAGTGTCTGACTTCCACATACATGTAGTAATAACCTGGACAGCTAGATTCAGTTCGTTAAAATCAGTGTTTTGACAGTGAGGGAAGAAACATAGCCAGGAGTGTTCATGTACACGTGATGTTTATTGTGACAGTTTGTGCAACATACTGCCTTCCCCTACCTTACCACAGCTCCTGACTGTCCCTAGCAACTGTTTCTGTGGTAACCAGGATGGGATTTCGTCATTATGTTCTGTTCACCAGGCTTGGCAAGAATTCTGCAGAAATGATATGCACAATCATAACATTACGTCAGAGTTGCAGTTGTGGTCTAATAAAATAACCCATTTTTCTGACAAATCTCTTATGGCATCCAGCACTGGTTAAATTTGTCTGATGTTCTGACAATTGTAAAGTCTTAACATGTCTATCACAAGTAAGAATATTTAATCTTCTCCCTGTGGCCTACATGGTCCAAGTCTACAGTGCCAAAAGGCTATCTGGGAGAATACTACAAATGCCATACATGTAGATGACTGATGATGCTAATTATGTAGCAAGTGTTGTGCACAAAGTTTGCCAACAGGACAGCAGAGGTTGCTATAATGGTAATATGGTTGCTATGGCTAAGGGATAATCATGGGCAGGACTTGCAAAAGCAGCTAGAAACTTTTTGCACGACACCAACTAAATGATAGCATCATCATGTCACCTAGCAACAGCAAACATGGTCGCCATGGGTAGGGTTACATACCCAGTAGTACTATCTCCTGATTGGTCGCCAGTGGGATTATACAATGTACCATCTTCAATGTTAAGTAGGGGAGTGCAGCATGGGCACACACTTATGCCTACATGTTGTAATATTACAGTGCACATGAGAACAATGTATACTTGCAGCTATGATGACCACGTGCACTTTCTGTCAAATAAAGTACTGTCTGCTATTCATACTGATTTCAGTGTTATATCAAGTGTAACATACTCATGAGTGTCCTGTTGTCAGGAAGCCTACTTGTACATTGCGTACACCACTGCAAAGAAAGGAAGATCATTCAATGATAGTTCTGTAAGTTTTCTCCGTACCTACTCCCAATTACTGATACCAGTTTTCAGTTACGTCGACTGGGGAGAAGTATGAAGTTGAT